CTTCGTGATAGGAAAAAAAGGAAGATTTGGCTATCTCAGGAGACTTACATTAAAAAAGTTCTTGAAAGATTCAACATGAGTAAAGCCAAAGCAGTTTGTTCCCCACTTGTAGGTCATTTCAAGCTTAGTTCAAAACAATGTCCTACAAGTGAGAAAGAAAAAGAAGAAATGTCCAAAGTGCCTTACTCATCTGCAGTAGGCAGTTTGATGTATGCTATGGTTTGTACTAGGCCAGATATAGCTCATGCAGTTGGAGTTGTCAACTGATTTCTCTCTAATCCTGAAAAGGAACATTGGGCAGTAGTGAAATGGATATTAAGATATCTAAGAGGTACTTCCAGGTTGTGTTTATGTTTTGGCAGTGATGAATCTGTGTTAGAAGGTTACACAGATGCAGACATGGCAGGTGATATTGATTCCAGGAAGTCCACTTCGGGATTCTTGATGACATTTGCAGGAGGAGCAGTCTCTACCACAGAAGCAGAATACATAACAATTACTGAAGCCTGTAAGGAAACTTTATGGATGAAAAAGTTTCTACAGAAATTGGGCTTGAAACAGGAAGGATATACTGTTTACTGTGATAGTCAGAGCATCATTCACCTCTCCAAGAATTCAACATACCATTCTAGATCCAAGCATATTGATGTGAGATATCACTGGATTCGTGATGTGCTTGAGATGAAAGAATTACAGTTGAAAAAAGTACATACCAATGAGAATGGTTCAGATATGTTGACAAAGTCTTTACCTAAGGAGAAGCTTGAAGCATGTAGGCGAAGAGCGGGCTTGGTACAACCCACCATATGAGCTGGAGGGGGAGAATTGTTGGGTCCAGCCCATATGTGGGCTTGGACAATTTAGGCCATAAGCCCAAATCAACTAATTGGATATTAGAGAGAACAAAATTAGGGTGAGAACACAGTAAGTGCGTGTAGTGTGCGGCGGCGTGCAGAGAAAAAGAGGAGAGAGAAATAGAGAGAGAAAGTAAGGTTTTTGAGTTTTCTGCTTGACGATCGGTGGCCAAACGTTGTTAGTTTTGGCCCAAATTTTATGTGAAGAATTCTTGCAGCAAACTCTACAATCCTAACGGTGTTGATCTATAGTTTACCCTCTTTAAGATACTTTCCTGTTATATCCACTTTGTGATATCTAGAATTCTCTTTTGAGGAGATCCATCCTATATGATAATATGCTAGAGCCAAGATCTATGTTCTTGATGTTATTCTGATCCTCTAGTTATTCTAGAGAAGACCTACTGTAAACCTATTATCATTATTATTGATAGTGGAAATTTGAGGCGGACTACGGTCCCGTGGTTTTTCCCACATTGGGTTTTCCACGTTAAAAGATTTTGTTTCACTGTGTGATTGATTTATTGCTCTATTGTTTATGCTGTGCTGATTGATATTAGCATTTTGATATCAAGTTGGTATTTTGATGAGGAACCCATTTTGATACACAAAGAGGGAAAAGAATTATTCCGCTTTAACAGGTTTTTCCCAACACTTTATTTACAAGCCTAAAGCGGCCACCAAACCCAACTAAAATGGGACTATTAAGCATTCGACCATCCCTTTACATGCTGTGCAAAGCATGAACATAGCAAAAGACACGGACATACATAAGCATGATATCAAACATCCTGTTTAGAAGTTTGTCCGTGATATACGTCAAATGATTAACGTGATATTATCTTTTAGAGTGGTAAAAGTAATCTTATCGACATTAAGTCTGCTCTCTCTACCAGCAAATGGTCGATTTGCAGGTTGGCACCAAACCTACTTAAGTTAGGAAAAGTTGGAGCCGGAAGTGTAAGAGAATATTCATATATATTGAGGGATCGAAAGAGAAGTTGGATAATGGCCGTGTAATGATATTGAACTTTTTTAATATACCGGGTTTAGATCATAACTTAATATCTATATGATCTATGTTAACTTCGACCTATCATCAATCAATTTCTAAGACAAGGTTTCGAAAAAAGCAAGTAAAAACAATGTTAGATATTAGCCATAGTGGCGAAAAAGAAAACAAGTCTAATTGTAATTTGGCCTACCCTTATGAGAATATAGGGTATGATTAAGCCACATGAACGAGAAAAATTATTTAGAGCTTGTTCATGTTTAAGGATAGATGGAATGAGATCCAGTAGAATTGTCTCACGTTGGAATTGAAATAATTAAAATAATTAACTGATTTAGCTCCACACTTAAAAGGCCTAAATTTTTTTATTTCTTTATTGAGCGATTATATTTTTGGAGAGATCGATCAAATTCGAATTTTGATATTGTCTTGACTTTAACATGATTAGTCTATATCATACGATTTTGGTCAATAATCTACGAGTCTACCAAAGCTAGAAACTTACTTATAATAAAAGATTTATTCTTGATACTTTGTTATTAATTTGATTATTATGTGCTCATTTGAAGGCTAGATCTTTGAATTGATTCAAAGCTATAGAATACGTTCAAAGAAGCATAAGCAAAACTATGATATGGACTTTAGTCTTAGTTGATTATTTTTAAGACAAAAGATATGATTATCATATGACCTACTAATTTGGGTTGAACTAATTGACTAAATCAAGTATCCGACTTATTTTGATATTGCCTAATCAGGATTTCATTGTTTGATTTTTTTTATATTTTGGTAATGTTGTAGTTATAAATAACTTGTAGAAAGAATTATACTTCCCATATTTAGTTTACGAGAAAAGATTTTAAATATGATCGGTGCTTATACTTCTCAAATCGACAATTGAATCTAAGGTTTTGATCTAAGTGCTTATCCATCTAATATTTATATAGTCAAGTTATTGTTTTTACAAAAAAATAATAATGATGATGAAATCGAAAGAAAAAACTTCGTTCACAATACCTCATACAAAAAAATGTTAAATCCAAAGGATATCAATTCCTCCGAAATTAAAAAAAAATTGTTACTCCTACATTGTGAAAAAACTATTAAAGCGAAATAATTCTTTTTCGTCTTTGTCTATCAAAATAGGTTCCTCATCAAAATGTCAACTTAATATAAAAATGTTAATATCAATCAGAATAACATAAACAGTAGAGCAATAAATCAATCACATAATAAGACCAATTTTTTTAACGTGAAAAACCCAATACGAGAAAAACCACGGGATCGTAGTCCACCTTAAACTTTCACTATCAATAATAATGATAACAGGTTTACAATAAGTTTTCTCTAAAATAACAAAAAGATAGAACATAGATCTTGGCTCAAATAGCATATCATTATCACATATGATGAATCTTATTAAAATAAAAATTCTAGACCTCACAAAGTGGATATAGTAAGAAAATACCTCAGAGAGAGGAAACTATAGATTAGCACCGTTAGGATTATAGAGCTTACTGTAAGGATTCTCCACATATAATTTGGATCAGAACACACAAAGTTTAAGAAAAATCAAAATCTTTTTCTTTTTCTATCCTAAATTACATGCCTCTTTTGCCTTTTAATTATTAATTTAGGTTTAAAAGATCGAATTGTCCAAACCCACGGCTGGACCCAACAAAATATGCCTAATAGTAACTAAAAATTTTCTTGGATAAGGAGTTGATATCAATCTATCTTCATCGTACAGTCCGTCTTAACGTGGAGTCGACGGAGACTCTTCTCAAAAACCAAATGTTGTCCTTTCAAGATAGCTTTCTTCTGTCTTGTAATAAATTCTGTCTCGCTTGATCAAATACTTGCAACCCAAAAAAAAAAAACAGAAGAACCATCGCACTTAGCGATAAACCCAATACGATCATCAATCATATTCATGATTCCAAGAATCATCACAGCTTAATTTGATCCATTCATCAGGAGTTGACTTGCAACTCCTAATACATCCCTTACTTACGTTTGGTCAACCTCACCTCATAACACGTATGCAGGAGATGATTTGGAAAAATAAACTAATAACAAACAAACATCATATTTTTAAAAACAACATCTGAATAAAAGATCTGTTTTTGCAAAGAAGCTTTAGAATCCAATGTAGTATTTTCAATGCAGTATCTAAAAAGAAAATACTCATACTATCTCATGATAACATTAGTATTTTAATATTTAAAGAATGAGAATATAAATTTTTAAATTTTGAAAGTATCTTGTGACTTTATCTACAATTATAAGATTGTCAAAATGATTTAGTGAGAAACCAATATGATTAATATTATTTTTAAAATTATTTTATATTTATTTATAATATGATTATGTTTTTTATTATTATATATTTGAGCCATATGAAACTTTTTTTATAAGATTCATTCATTTTATTTATTTACTTATTAATTTAAATAAAAAAATATATTTATTTTTAAATGAATATTAAAAATATGAGAAGGTCAAATTTATCATAAAATATTTAGTGGACTTTTAAAATATAATTTTATCAAATAATATTTATGTTAATCATAATATATTTACAATAAAATTTTAAGATATTATTTAACCAGACCTCTCAAAACATTTCACAATTGCACATTTCACATATTAAAAGTATAAATATATTTGCAAACGTAATCTTTAATGCAAAAGCCATCAAATTAAGATTCTAAAAATTTTAAATGTAAGTCAAGTCAATTCCGACCAAAAAGCCAACAAGCCAAAGTAATGAAACAACATATACGTTTGATGGATTTAAAATCGACGTTACAAAAAGTGCATAGCTTAAGCTCGTAGATTTCCAACACCGCGCAAGCCGATCCAATGTTAGGAGACGGCGATGATGAAGTAGCTTCCGACTGAAGAAGGCCTGCACTCTAGCCAGCCATAATGGGTAGCTACCAAACATATCGCCACCCATTCCAAACATTCTGAAGGTGTAATAAATGAGAGATTACAAGAATCGAAAAAGCCGACTTAGCAACAATAGCTATGCCATGAGATTTATATGTACAAACAAAATCGATTTGTCATCAAAGTGTTAACACACATCTACACTTGACAATTCATTTAGCATTAGCTATGTCATGGCATTCATCGAAAGCAATCATCAAATTGTCACTCTTTTGTGATGACAGATTAGCTAATTAGCCCCTCGCAAAAGAACCAAAAAATCATACAACTTCTTCAAATGGCTTCAGAAAGTTGACATCGGACTCGTGATTCAGAACCTCGTGCAATTCCTGGGCAAACCAGTGCTGTGATCCACCGTGACGATCTCCGCCTCGTCGCAGCTGATCAGATCCTGCCTAAGCTTCGCACCCGCTGCCTTCAAGGCTTTCAAAGACACCGCCTGGTTGAACAGGTTGAGCACCGGCAACTTGTTAGCCGGAGGCAGCTTCCCTGCAGGTAGCAACTTGGTGAACTCGGCCTTCATCAATGGCACCTCGAAGTCCTCCTTGTTATGCTTCACCACGTTGTCCTTTGCGCTGATGTGCGCGCCGGGCTCCATGTGGTTGGTCGAGAAGCTTGCTTGGTTTGGGAAGTTGGGGTAGAGGCTGACGTAACCTCGCAGGTACATCATGTCGATGAGAAACTTCTTCCACGACGCCTGCCACCCGTTGGTCCTCGACTTGGGGATCTGCACCGGGTTCTGCTTGGCGTCCTCGGTGAACCTTGCGTTCATGTAGGCGTAGAACTCCCTCCAGTGCTTGGGGAAGAACACGGCCCCCCAACTGCAGGGGAGCTGGTGCAGATACGGTGTGTTGGGGTGGATCTTCTTGAAGAACTCGGTGGCGTTCCATTTGGGCCTCTCTTTCACCACCTCCACCAGCCGGGGTGTGTACAGGGAGATGGATGCGAGCTCCGGGAGGGAGACTTGGGGGTCGTAGTGGTAGGACAACAGTGCGTACTTGATCCACACGTAGTAGTAGGGAGAGACCTCGATGTCATCTTCGAGCAGGAGGCCGAAGTCGTCGTCGTCGGAGGGGTACCAGCTCTCGCTCACGGCTCGGATCAGCCCGCCATGGATGATCCTACGGCGAATGAACTTTGGCCCCTGTGCCCATCGAAAGGACCCGACCACCTTGAGCGTCTCCTGGTCGACCTTGCTGTCCATGTTGAAGCTGAGACGCACCTCGTCGCCGAGATAATACGCATTCTGGAGAGATCCAAGAAGTCTCCGAAGAGAGGTTGCACGGTTCTGGGTGATGACGTTCACAGTGATCCGCATCCGGTTCCAACCTGCAACGCTCATGAATCTAGTGCTAAGTTTCAGAACAGACGCTGCTGCTAACAGTGAGCGATCGAGAGGTCTTACTCGGCAATGCAATCGGTCGCAGATCAGCCATCCATAGAACCTTTGGCACATCAGCCCTGGGAAGAAGAACCAGAGCGGTGACGTTTGCAGTGCCCTCGGCAGCCATCTTTAGCGCGTTCTTCACTTTTTGATCGACATCATCGACTGCGATCAGCAAACTTGGGTTGTGGATCTTGAGAAGCCCCTTCAGGCTCGAGTACACCGCCTGCACCACCGGAACCTCCGAGTTCGACGCCCCTGAGATCGCTCCGATTTCCAGGTCGAAGATCTTGAACCTCCTCTCCCTGCAAACGTTCTCCGGCCACCTGAGAACAGTCACAGCTTCTTGGCAAGAGCAGAAACTCCCACCGGAGACGACGATGTAGGCTTTCCTTCCTACAGTCGTACGGAACTTCTCGAGAAGAGGGGCAAGGGCTCTCACTTCACCGACGGAATGGGCGTAGAACAGAGCGTCTATTTTCTGAGGGTACATGGCAGCCCACTGAGTGACATAACCGGCGGACAAGGCACGCCACCATTGGTCATCCCGGACTCGGACAACATCCTTGAAGATGACGGTGGTCTCGGAAACATATGCGAGTCTGTGCTCACTGTCACCCCATGTGTCCTTGTCACTGGGATCTATGGGCAGCACGTACGATCCTGCGTCTCTGTACTTCCGAAGCTGATAACTGCACGAAAGCAAATATTATGTGAATCTATGGAGTATAATTCTGTACAAAAAACCCTCTGAATCTGTATTTGTGCTTCACAGAGTTAACGGCGAGGAACAACCTGAGATGCAAGTCTTCACCGGTCATGAAAGTAAATGGCGTCTCCACGAACAACGTCTTGACGAGATCTGCGGACAGAAACCAAGAACTTGACAAGAAGTCAACCTGCACGATCCTTTCGACGGTGATATCGTAAGCAGGATCGGGAAGATACAGTCCTGCTTCCTTAGACAGGAACTTCCTGTAACTTGGAAATGTGAAGTCCTTCTGCCGGAAAGGCAAGATCCTTCCGATGCTGCCGAGAACCGAGTTCCTGTACTTGTCTGTCCCTCCGACATGGGACAGTATCTCCAGCATCTTCTTGCCAGGAATCATGTCGTCATCCAGAATATACACGAAGTCGGCTTCAGTCTGTAGGGCCATCTGAAACCTCCCGTAGTACTTGAAGTCGTAGCTTGAACTGATGAAGCTGATCCTCGAATTGTTGTAGCTCTCCACGATTCGTCTCAGTGAGACCTCGTTTGGGCTGCCGAAAGAGAGCACCCAGAGATGATGAAACGGCAGTGTCTGGTTCAGCAACGAATCCAGCTGAGCACACAGCGTCTTCCTCTTGAAATGGTTCAAGATCACAGTGATCTTGGGGATGTTGGGGCCGACGCGGCTCCACTTGGACTTCATCCTCGTGAGCTCCGCGAGGGACTCGGTCCCCGAGTTTGCCTTCTGGAACGCCAACACCTCGTCGTAGAGCTCCCTCTTCAGCTTGATCATCAGTGCGTCGTCCGATTTCTTCTGCGAGAAATCGATCTGTTCGAACTCGCAGACCGCAGCGGGCGAGTCGACGACGGCGGGGATGTCTTGGATGCTCGACATCACATGCGGGTGGCCGATGAATTGCTTCCAGTGCTGGGCGATGCGGGTGGCCCAGGAGAAGTCCGCCTTGCTGCGCAGGTCGACGGAGGGGCTCATGTAGTAGAGGAGGAAGGTGGCGTACATGGCGAAGGCGAACTGGAGGCAGGTGAGCGTCGCGACAAGGCTAGAGGAGGCAATCTTAGGAGCCCTCATCTTGGCCGAAGACTTGCCAGCGACATAGTCGTTGAGCATCCCCTCCAACAAGTCTCCGCTTCTCGTGTTTGGACCCCGTAATAATCCCCTATCAAAGCAGCGATCTTGAGAGCAGTGGGAGATCTGAAACGGGAGACAAATCATGATGAGTACAGAAAGTCGCTATTGATTAGTCTCTTTTAGGAAATTAGTAGCTAAATAATACCTTATGTATACGAATTATGTTATAAGCGAGAGGAAGAAAAAGGTTCAAATATAGGAATTCCGAAAGCTTAGAGCTCTTTTTGGGCAATCACACGTACGAAGGAAAGAAATATTAAGTAAAAAATGCATACTAAAATCGGAATGGAAAGATTTTATGCATGGAATCTAGGTGAGAGGAAAGTATCTTCACTGGCTCCCAGTAATTTCCAGCTCATGGAGCGAACACTGGTTTCTGCTGCTGTGTCTTAAAGAATCTTTGGTACAAGCTATGAGATTAACCATTACCATTTGAACTAGTAAGAGATCATCCACAGAAGGCATGTATTCACGAAAACGAAGGTAGCAGAGTCATACACAATGGCGAAGCAGAATCCAATGGAGCTACAAATCTCCGAATAGGCTTCGGAGCCTGAAAGGAAGGAGATTAAGCAAATCAGGAGAACTCAGAATGAAATCATACTGAGATGTGTTTCTTTCTACAGAGACGCGGTGGCCTTTCTTCTTCGTTTTGCTTAAGAATACTGCAAGAGATCGAAGATGGAAGGAAGGGTGCTGATATCAGAGGAGTGTTCACATGGCTCGTACAGAGGCCGAAGGCGTTACCTTTACTTCTTCTCATTCATTTGCTCACCCCCGACACCATTAAAAGCCGGTTTTGGAGCCGCGGAATAGGGGGGACGCACAACCCTCGACAACTCGCCACCCCTCTCAGTGCTCTCTCTCTCTCTCTCTCTCTCTCTCTCTCTCTCTCTTATATGTTTCTCTGTGTCTTTATCCCAAGTCTGCTTGAAATCTTTCTTTCTCCATGAACTATTAGCAGACAACTTATCTTCTCATTGGAAACAGAGAGATCCTGCGCAAGAAGATTTCGCTGGTTCCTTTGACCACTGTGCAGCGAAGAATGAGAAATGTGCTACGTGTTATGTTTGCTCGAACCTTAAATTGGAGGAAACTCAAATCGCGAAACGCCCTAAACTAATTGCCTCGCGAATCCACATAAACTGAAGAACACATAGTTTACGAACGCCCAAAAGAATCCGCAACGTCAAATTGCGTGGTACCTTGAAGAAAGTGTGCAGGGAAGGCAGAGAAGCTAAGCCACCGCCATTGATGGATCCCAGAGACCTTAGTTGGTGCTGCAAAGATTAGTGGCACATATTTATAGAGGAAAGCGATGGGTTCAATGACTCGCAATCTACATCTCCTTGCTGTAATGCCTTGTGCCAAACAGGGCAAGTGGAGGAAGAGAGACAAAGAGGTAGTCTTCAACTGGAGTTGCAGACATGCAAACAGTGGTGACTTGATTGGAATTTTATCTGCTAATGGGAGAACAAGAAGCAGCGCATGGGGATGAGTTGGAAATGGTTGACATTGTGCTGGGGATAATCTAATTGCTCATTCCTTACAATCTCAACAATGTGGGGACTAATCTTAGAATTTTATTGACCATGTCATTCAAGAACTAGAATATTTTGATGCACAAATGTCCGATAATTTGAACTTAGATTCCCATATCATGCGTTGCAATACAAGGTCAACACTTGTGACAGCTCTTAGACTACCGAATGCAACGAGTCGTCGCCTACACCATACGCACAACTCAATGAGAAAGTCTTGGATTAAGTGATTTGGTCTATTCTAATCCCTCTAATTTCTTCAGTGTAGCAACTAAGACTACCACTAATCACCCTTATGTCCGGTCGCCAAAGGATTCTAATTCAACACCGCTGCACATGGTGTATTCCTGCGAAGAGAGAGAGAGAGAGAGAGAGAGAGAGAGCAGAGTTGATAGTTCTTGGACTGCTTAGTCTATTAAGCAGTGGCCAATTCAAACAAATGCAGAGTTCGTGCCTTGCACGATGGTAAGGCTACTGCGTTCTACACCCTCGAAGAGGGAGCAGAGATATCTTGAAACAGAGGCACCAGCTGTTTTCTCATCCCTGTTTTGTACAAGGCGTTCAACGTGCTATGGCAGTCAAACATGCATCTGCTAGAATCTTCACAACATTTGTTTCTCTCGCTCCATCTGCTCATGTAGTGGGAGCAGAACGGTTCCCTCATACCATTGATGCAAAGGTCAATTTGCAGGGCTTCTCCGCCTGTCGCAGACGACTTCCTTCCTTCTCCACCACCTTCCTTGTTGTATAGATCGGTGGAATGGCACCTAAGACGTAATGTTGTACCGCAAGGCACTTTTACAGATATTACATCATTCTGATAAGTTCAACCAATATATTGATACGACTGAAACCCTCATCCAGTTCCTCTGTTGTCCATTGAAGATGGCAGCTCAAAGCTTCCATTGGCGTCTCTGAGAGAAAGAACAGTTCCTGCAGACTACTATTGGAGTAGAAAGATTCATGGCAATGTCATCTGGACAATGGTGGGTTGCAAGGGTTCCACAGAAGCGATGAAAAATTGACTTGAAAGATCCAGCTGGCCCACAAAAAGCTTGTCGAGAGAGAGAGAGAGAGAGAGATGGACCAACACCTGAGAGCGAGCATTCGAAGAATAAACTCTAGACGAGAACCATGGAAAAATGATCAAAAAATTATCACAAAAACAGCATCAAAACAACACGAGGATTTTGGAGTCTGCAAATAACCAAAGAATAGGTTGTGATATATTATTACGTTTTGTAGCTCAACCTTATTGATATTGATATAGAGATCGAGTCTATCTTTGATCTAATCATCGTCATATTAATCTAGGATTAAGGGTAAAAATCATATTATTATTCGGAGTGATGTTATGTTGGTCTACCAATATAAGTATTGTAGAATCTTGGACTAATTTGATCCAAGCTAAGTAAAATTTCATTTAATAAACAACATTCTATAAATCAAAATTATGTTTTCAATCACATTTTAAATCCCCGTAGTAGACCTTTCCATAATAGAGTTCAAGAAACAATTGTCAATAGCAAACACCTAAATTTGTTATCAAGAACACCATGATGAATAAGATGATGCTATAGGGTTATTAGGCATTTGGATCTACTTTCTTTGAATTTATGTCATTGGTCAATATCATCTACTGGAAAATGACCAAACCTACCTAAATGATTGAGCCAAGAATGAGATGTCAGGTATTTTTATGCACAATCATACATTAGATACACAATTTTAAATGAGTAGATAGATATGTGGCATAAGGAAAAGACTTCACCCAAGAAAATGATCCTTTTGTCTATAAACATAGTGAAATATAGTAATAATTTGTGTATTATACCTTCAAGAAAAGAACCCCTGCAAAACTCAATAAAGAGTAAATTTCTTACTAAACTGATTAACTCAAAATGTAAAAAAAAAAATTCTTAAACTATTAGAGACATCAATAAGATATAAATAGAGATGAATAAATTACACATATCATTATGTTATTGCTCAAAAACCTCATCTAATTATATACCGGTCTGAAATAACATTATAATACGAAGGAATAAATTTTTATATCGTTGATGAATACTTGATAAATAAATATATCAAAAATGCGTTGGTTCATATTATAGAATTAAGGATTAGAAATCCTTGAGAATTTAGATTTTTATAATTCTCCTAGTAAACATCAATCAATCAACTGCAACTGCAAAATGTATTCAATACACCAAGCTCCAACAATCAAACTAGACTCCCCATCAGTAGCCACCTCTCTCTCTCTCTCTCTCTCTCTCTCTCTCTCTCTCTTGGAATCTAACAAAACAGCTAATTGTCTTGCATTTTCTTCTCTGTAGACTACATCCTACCTATAGTAGTTTGCCTATGGCTTCTCTAAACTTTGTATCTTTCCCCTCCCCAGCCTCCTCCTCCTCCTCCTCTTCTCGCTCCTTTGTACAAAATTTTAAGGGGAAAGATAACAACATGAGTGATATCAGAAACCACCAGGTTGACTTCTAAAACAGGGGAACACAAGGAACGCCAAACATGTTTATTCTCCTTCGACTTCGTCTTCGTCTTCTCACTCCCGCCGGCGAATGTACTCGAGGAGATCGCAGCCGTCGGAGGAGGAGGATGTGGCAGCGCCCTCGGTGGCGCACTTCTGGCTCGCATTGATGCGCATTTCGACCACCTTCTTGTGGGAGTTGGAGTGGATGGATGGGACGAAGGTGGGACTGGCGGCGGGGCGGTACTCCGGGAAGAGCCGCCCGGACTTGTACCGGACGCCGCAGGCGTTGCAGAGAGTCTTGGGCCCCATTGGGCCGGCTCTCCACTGCGGGGTCTTCTGTATCTCGCAGTGCATGCACTTCCTCACCGGGGGAGGCGGCCCCGATTCCTCGCCGTCGGCGGTCGCGGCCGTGGCCGGGCTCTTCTTCTTGCTCTTCTTCTTCTTCGGGGGAGGAGGCACGGGGCAGGACTCGCCGATGCTCTCGGGGTCTGAGGAGGTGGCTGCGGAGAGCGGGTTGGGGACGGGGACCGCGTCTGAGGATGGTGGCAGGTAGGGGGCGGCGACGTGGTGACGAGGCGAGAAGGTGGCGGGGCGCGGGCGCTTGCTGCGTGCGCGGGCGGGAACCACCAAAACCGAAGGCGGCTCCGGCGGACTGAGAGGAGGAAGCGGTATTGTTGCATCGTTGCCGCGGTTAGAGTACGAAGCCGAAGTCGAGGAAGAAGAAGAGGAAGAGGAGTAGGAGTCGCCGCCGCCTCCGCCGCCCATGGTGTCCGCTTCAAGGACGGAGACCGGGCTGGAGGTGCGGAAGAAAGAGTGGTGGCCTCTGGCTTTTGTTTGGACACCGTTGTCTTCGCCATTGGCATTGTTGTTGATGCCGTCGCAGCTCGGGAGGTCGAGGGAGAAGGAATCAGAGTCGTCGAGGAATTTGGACATCCATTCAAGCTGCACGATGTCAAGCTCATCACACTGCCCATTCCACAAATAAGCAAATATAGTACCGTTACTTCCGTGAACACTGCAGTAATTACAGCGTAAAACATCGAACCAACTGATAATAGAATTGACTTTTTCTTCTTTCTTTCACGTTAGTAAAACGCTGAATTATATTACTTGTGTAGAAAAGCGTGATAGAATTACTGGTTCAGCTCAGCCAAAAATGAGAAAAGTGACGTACTACCAAATTGACAGGGATGCATGCAATTATTAGTGCTGCAGAGGCTTGCAGAACAGCAAATGCAATGTCCCAAAATTTGGTGCTTCTCCACCAGGAATTTATTTCTTAGCAAAAATTACTTACTGAGCCGAGTTTGTGCTCCTCCCCGCTGAACTTGTTGTTGCTTCGGGTGGTGAAGCCGTGGAGCGCGTCGTCTCCAACGCCACCTGGAAGCCCGTTGGCAGCGGGCACAGGAAGGGAAGGTAGAAGAAGACCCCCGTTGTGGCCGCAGGGCTCCGCCAGCCCCAGCACGTCGTCGGGGAAATCGAGCAAGTCCTCAATGTGATCGAACAGGTCACCCATGCCGTCCTCCATGTGCCTCGCAGTGGCCGTGTCTCTCTACCTGCACACACACACACCATGGCACCAACGTAACGTATCAGCAAGCCTGCGTGCCGTACGCACGGATTCACGCTCACAAGGAATAATGACACAATGCGACGGAAAGCAGATGGGGGAAGGCAATGAACCACTGGATCCGCAGTTGGTGCTCTTATGCTCATCATTTACGCTATTCTGTACCGCATATATGTGATGAATCAATTCATGGTGTTAGGCATGAGGAGACCAACGGGAAGGTTTCGGTGGCCGAGAAACAGAGGACTACACAAAGACTACCGCGTCGCCCACGCGGAGACCAGTGATTGGTTTCGATGCGTCACTTGCCTGTTCTTGGCGGCAAGAAAGGTAGTTGGTGGAATACCCATCGCCACTAGTTCCCAATTACCAAAAAATCATATAATGGTATGCATTTTGGCAGTAATTTTTCGTATTTATGTTCGGCTGTGGAATTCAGGAATGGTTGTGACGGGAGGAAGAATAACAGAGTAAAAACGGAAGAATTATTTGGAGAACAATTTGAACAAGGAGTACAGAATGGTGTTTTTATAAGAACAAGAATAATGGAGATGAAATGTGAGAGACAGAGACTCAATCTTGGTTGCAGAGATT